CCAATTTATTCATGTGCATTTACTACTTTAGTTATTTTACCCTTTTACTAAGCATTTCAGAAAACTATGGAAATAAACTGTTTAGAACTGGTTTTCCATTGTTAAATTGCAAGAACTTTCAGAAGTATGCATAAGATGTTTCACTGATAGGTCACAAATAACATAACATTGTTATGTTCCTTGATTCTTGGACTTCATAATAAAGGTTTTCTCAACATGATCAAATTTTGGGTCATTGTGGCATTCATGAAGATGTACTTTATTATCTAATTTTTGTATTATGGAATTAGAACTTACACCAATAAATTCTACCATTCTTCTTTGATCTTTAATGAGACATTAATCAAAGGACTGCTTTTAGCTATATAATTCCACAAAAAGAATTAGTCTGTTCTCCCTAGATGGTTAGTTCACTAGGAATTATATTAATGTACAAATAAATCTCATTTCTAGTACGAGATCAGAAAAAAAGTTTAATTTTAAAATTATCAGTGATTTCCTTTTAATTTTCTTTTAACATTTTAGTAACTTAAATTGAAACTGTTCAGCAAACATTTGCTAAGCTATTCCTTGGTGTCAGATTTGTCCAATACCCTAGAGATGTTAGATTGATTATGATCAAGGGCTAAATAAGACAGTTTGGAAGAGTTTCACATAGAATGATGGTAAATTAATCCTTATTAAATTAATAAAATAGTGCTGCCTAGACATCTTTGTGAAATTTCCAGGGAGAGCTACTTTACCATTCTCTCAGTTCAGTGCTATGTGCTTTGATTGAAGAGAATGCCTGCAGGCTTCAAAGTGCTTACATTCTGATAATACAGTTGCAACAATGTGTGCATTCAAAAGTCTCATATTAGGTGACTTACCTGTGAAAAACTCAGAAATAACACAACGAAGTATTGTTTCATGTTTAATTGCATGGTTAAGTTTATAAGTGCTTAAACATTTGCTTAGAAGAAATTAATGTGTACAGAATGTTCAGGGATGCCTACATTGGAGGAAAGGAATCAGAGATGTGTCTTATAGAATTTGTATAGTGGAGAAGGGGGGAGATCATTTGGGGCGGGGAATATAGGAACTGTAGCAGAAGAATTAGTCATGATGTATTTGGATGATTGTACAGAAAATGGTGGGAAATTAATATGGTTAAATCATCTTTGGGATCAAACTGTTTAAACTCTCACAGTTTGGTTTTTTGGTTTTTGGTTTTTGGTTTTTTCATCCATGGAAAGGAAATCACACTACAAATTTGGTTTATCTGTTGTGAGAATTGATGCAACTATTATGGGCAAAGAATGCAATATAGTGTTGACCCAGGATGAATCCATTTGATGCTAGTTACTGCTAACATATTCCTTTTTCCTGCTATTATCACCCTCCTAATTCAGACCTTTGTCATCTCAGGCTCTTTCTTCAAGCTGTAATGGAAGTATAATTGTTTGGAAAGGTCTTCTGTGACCTAATCTGATGGTAGACGTGAACTCTCCCTTTCATTTGTACTATTCATGTGACACATAACAGTTTACTTATTTATATTTCTTTTGATGAAATCGTTTTTAAAAATCAATTTTGACTACTGGCTCTTCCTAATCCAGGAATACTTTATTCTTTAAAATAAAATCAATTACTAAATCAATTTTCATTAAATTATATTAACCTCTATTTACAGAGATTGAAAGTTCTGGGGTGATTCTATTTTACCATCAAGGTCTTTTCTCCAAATGCTCAATCTTTAATAACATGATGTTTGATGAGAAAATACCACAGCTCTCATTATAAACATCTTCAATATAATAACATCTTGATTAGATTCCAAAATTATTATGTTATTAATAGGTTTCTAATGAGGTTAGAGCTTATTAACAATGCTATAATGTATAAGTAAGTGGTCATCTTTACTGCTGCAAGAAAGTTCTGAGGTCTCAGTTTTAAAATGGATTTTTAAAATATCTTTGGTGTGCATTAGATATGGTTTATTTTTGACAAGTGATGTTCAGTAAATTTTGTGTTTTATTTTTAATAGTTAACAACCTTGCTTTAATTAATCAACATATAACGTGAATTCTACTAACTGAGGATATGGTTTAAAAACTCTCTTATTTAAAAATAGTTAATAGGCATTTTAAGATCTGTTTTAGGTTTATTATAAAATTGTGCAGAAAGTAGAGATTCCATATATCTTCTTCTATCTTACCCCCTTTCCCTACAATTGCTCTTATTATCAGACACCATATTATTATTAGACAGCATGAGTAGTACATTTGTTACAAGTGATGAACTTTTATTGATATTATTAGCTATCCATATTTTTCACTAAGGTTCATTCTTCTTTGTATCTTCCATTTGGTGGATTTCCTTTAGTTTTATGGATTTTGATAAATGTGTAGTGTCATTCATCCATCATTTCAGTGTCATACAGGATAGCATCCCTGCCCTAAAACTGTTCTGTGCTCTACCTATTCATTACTGTCTCATTTCTGGATGTCTGGGTACTCACCGATCTCTTTATTGCATTTATAGTTTTGTCTCTTCCAGAATGTCATATATATGGAATTATACAGTATGTGGTCTTTTCAGACTGGCCTCTTTCAGTTAGCAAGTTGTATTTAGGGTCTTCTATGTCTTTTTGTGGCTTGATAGCACATTTCTTGAGGGCTTCCCAGGTGGCACAGTGGTAAAGAATCCACCTGCCCATGCAAGAGATGCAAGAGTTGCAGGTTAGATCACTGGATTGAGAAGATCCTCCGAATAGGAAATGGAAATCCACTACAATATTAATGCCTGAAAAATTGCATGGACAGAAGAATCTGGTGGGCTATAGTTCATGCATCCATGGGGTCACAGTCAACTGAATGACTAACACACAGCACATTTCTTTATGTTGCTGGATAATATTCTATTCTACACATGCACCACTCTGCATTTTTTTTTAATTGGTTAAAAGCATCTGTATCTTTTGTTTCAAATGATTGATCTATTTTATAATTAAAAGCATACTACATATATCTCTGGGTTTTTTTTCCTTTAATAATTTGAATATAACTTTTTTTAGGCGATGCTGAATAAATTTTGAGATTTGATATATGCTTTGTCGATCATATTAATATAAACCCATGAGTTAAAGCATATTCACTCACACATTTTATATGTGACAAAATTTTGTTGTGTGCCTAGGTGGAAGGCAGTTAATGAAGTTAAGTGACACATCATAAAACTGTGCTGAATTCAATCACCAAATTAGGAATAAACCACCACTCTATGTTGTTCGTTTCTTAATACCATATATATATATATATATATAAATCTTGTAATTATCACTTTCCTTCCCTAACTTCTTTATTTTTTCACATGATCTTTACTTCCTTTTCTTCTGTCTTGGAGGAAGTGCTATCTCTTTTGTGGAAAACATATTTGCTTGAACTCTGCACCTGACCCTCTAAATTCTGAGACTATAATCTATCAATCCCCACCCTTGCATCTATGCATTATTGTTCCCTTTCCAGTTCTACAAACTCTGTCATGAATGAATGAATGATGTCTCCACGGTTCCATTTCCAGTTTCTGAGATGCACATCTTGGTTGGTTCTAGTATAGATTCCAAAAGCTTAGGTTTATGCCCTTTATTCCACTGCTAAATTCACACTGTGACAATGAGCAAGTTTTTAACATCTGTGGTTTCACTTTCCATGTCTGAAACTGGGACTAATAGTAGGATTGTGTAATAACTAAGTGTAACAATTCAAGGAGCCTTCTTAGCACAATGCCTGTTGCATAGCAAATACTCCAGGGATATTATTAGTGTTAAGTTGATATTCCTTGACTCATGAATGTGAAATATGATTGTACTCTTCCCAAGACCCTGAAGATCTGTTTTTCCTTTCTGGTTGTTAGGAAATGTCTGTCTTTCTCCACTGCTAACTATCGAAGATATTCTATCCAAGCACCTCCCATGCCACCCCGCCCCACAACACACAAATGCACACAAATGCACTCTCAGAATAATATTGTCAACAAACTTAGCCTCTTAGAGAAATTTCTTCTATAAGTCCTTCAACAATCCCTGAGAGAAGGGAACAGTAAAGGGCCAATTTCATTTTTCTGTGCACCTTTCTATAGCTTTTTCAGATGAGCATTTCTACATATTCTCTGAAAGCTCCATGTATTTATAAATGTAAAAGAAATATAGAAATATATGTTCCCATCATAGGTTGAAATAAATGCTTGTTATTTCAAAATATTATCATTATTTTTTGAAATACATTAGAGCTTAAGTTCATCCCTGACAGATGGTTATAACATGGTGAGTGAAAAGCATTAGCAATTTAACATATTTAAGCTACCGTGGAAAATTAGCAACTTTGTGAAAATTGAAAAACTAATTTCCTAATGTGATTTAGGCAAGGCTGCAAGGATTTTCATTAAATAATATAAAACAAATTAGAGAGATAGAAACAAAACTCAGAGGCAGTAAACACAATCATATTAAAAAAGGATTTTCACAATGTTAACTGTTTAAAGACTAAAACATTTTAACTGTACTCTTTAGTTTTAAAACCAGTAAAAGAAATGTTTCCTGATTATCAGTTAAATAATTTGAGGTCATTATTATTATTATGTACAATTTGACCATAGTATTTAGAAAATCACAATTGATATTGTTTATAAAGTTCAAATTAAAAGTATTATGAGCTAGTTTAATAGCATAATAATTCAGGTACTAAATGTTTGATAGTTTTTCCAGTTTTTTCATCCTATACAGTTTTTTATTTCTATATGTGCTTGCCATAACTGTGGATTTGCTAATCTAGAAAAATCACAGAAATGAGTAGCAGAGTAAATCAAATACTTCACTTCAGAGTAAAGAATGCTTTAAATGTTAACGTGACTGTTTTGAGACAATTCTGAAGTGTAAAGTCTTTGTTGTATTTGACATGATTGCTAGTTTCTGGTGACTTAAGAGCATTTTTTTTTTTCCTTTTTTATGTTTCTCTCTACAGAAAGCTGACCTTGCAGTTGCTCCACTGGCTATTACCTACGTTCGAGAGAAGGTCATCGACTTTTCCAAGCCCTTTATGACACTTGGAATAAGTATTTTGTACCGCAAGCCCAATGGTACAAACCCAGGCGTCTTCTCCTTCCTGAATCCTCTCTCCCCTGATATCTGGATGTATATTCTGCTGGCTTACTTGGGTGTCAGTTGTGTGCTCTTTGTCATAGCCAGGTAACATGCTCACTTTTGTGATTTTTTTGGCAATTGTTACCTCTTTTTTCTAACTAATAATTGTCAAAAGTCACAATCAATTTTACTTTTCTTTTTATTTCCCATGGAGTGTTGTAGAATAATGAACTTTTAAGTCATATAGCTTATTAAAATGTACTGTGATGCCTTTTTGGGCAGAAAGCATGCTGGTTATGTCAGTAAGCTATAGATGTGTTAGAGATTACTCTTTTTAATCAGAAACTAAAAGCAGTTCAGATCACTATGATACAAAAATTATTTCCTCATTTTGAAAATTTATCTTGGGCCAGACAGCAAAACAATATGTTTTACTAATTTAAATTAATGAAATACCTATAATAAAAACCAAAGTAGTAAAATTTAAAAGGAGGTTTTTTAAAAAAAGATGCTGATTAAAAATAAGCTTTTTAAGTATAAAAACCTATCATGATTTTCTATGTAAAGTGTGTATTTTTTTTCACATAATAAACACATCACCACAAAAAATTGCATTATATTTGTTGACATGTAGGGTGTATTTCAATCACAGGATTAGGAACTCAAATGCCTAAGTTAAAAATACATATGTTTATATCTTATAATGACTTTTAAAGTCTATGATATACCTCACTATATGTAGTTTTTGCTACTCTGTTGTCCCTCTGGAAGTGAATATTTGTGGTCATTTTTTATTTCTGTTTACCTCACTATCAAATTTTCAATAGATATTTTGATATGGTTTAATTTTTTTTTTGTCTTGATTAAGGAGATTAAAACTATCCCTGGACTCAGAGCTCCATTGTTACTCAAATGACTTTCAAAGTCAATGCTTGGTATAGTCTTTGAATATTTATATTCTATCAGATATCAAAAAGAGAACTCTAAATCCAAGATGAATTATAATTTTTCACATTGATGATAACACTTAAAAAGTACAAAAATAAATATTTTTGCTTTAATCCAAATTTAAGTATTAGATATGCGGGTTATTTTTTTTTCAATTACATTATGTGGGAGTTTTCTAATCAGTTATCACTAAGAATATTTGTCCTTCCTTGAACATTTTTTAATGAAGTCATATATTTTTTTCCTAGCAATGAAAAATGCTTAGTTTATTCAGTTAAGAAAAGAATAAAATTTTTATCATATATCATATTTTTATAATACACATTTCTGAAATGTGTGTATATATTTCTGAAATATGTGTATATATTTACACATAAATGTTATATAGACTTATAGTCGTCCACCTAATAGTTTCAGTATTAATACATGAGTCCTTCAAAAAATTATTAGTTGTATTTGACTGAAAATGTATTAGAATCATATATTCATACTACATATGTAGTTATATGGTAGATTGAGTTAAAATTTTTATTTGAATTTTAGAGTGTTTTGCCCCCAAAATGAGAATTTGGAGTATGAAGCTCATAAATTTTTAGCTCCAGTTTTTTCCATATTTTGTGTAAGTAAAACCCAACCTCATGTTTGAGATTCTTTGGACCAATTGCATCTTTTTTTTTATAGTGTCCAACACAAGCCGTCCTGGTTTATATGTGTTCAGAGACTTGAGTTCATGGATTACAGCTTAAATAATTCAATTTTTAAAGAACTCTGCAACCCACCCACAGAACAAACAGAAATAAACAAAGATTCTGAAACATAGAAAAATTCTTTTCTGATGTCTGCAGGTACACCTGTTCCCTCTTAATCAAATTGACAAAATTCTCAGGAAGGATATAAACAAAGCCTAGAGGAAAATGTCCTGAGACAGTTATGAGGCAATTGTATGGGCATCAGTCAAGATAAATTAAGTTCTAATATCAGTTTCCAGGGGATCTTAAGCAGAGACTGTTGAATTACTTTAAAATCAACTTAGAAATTTTAGATATTCCTAACACTCTGTGCCTAAATCTTCTAAAATTAGGTTCAAAAGCAAATACGGAGACATCTGAATATAATTCCTGCTTAAAAGTGTGTTAGCAAATAGAATCATGTGATATTGATTTGCACTTAACTTCTAAAATTTTCTAGAGCTCTTACTTTGAAAAACATGAAATCATATAATATCTGTAGAATTATGATAACCTATACAAATTTTAAACAAAAGAAATACATCCATGTCCTTCTATCTAAAAACATACCATTAACTGGTATGCCATTTTTTAGTGTCTTTGACTTTTAGAATATTACTGTTGAATTTTGTCAGTGATTAAATGAATGGATTTGAAAATGATTCTATTTCAGCACATTATTCAATAATGAGATAACAGTTTCATATAGTTTGAAAAATTGTTTAATATCTTCATTTATGGCTTAATTAACAAATATTCTATTACAAATAGTATAGGGTATCCTCTATTAAGTAATAAATATATTTGATGTTCTTGGAAAAGTATACATAGTGAAAATCAATTCTTTACATATTATCTCAGAATATTTCCTTCAATTCTCAACATTATTATCTCATATAAATATTGTCAATTAAAAAAAACAACTAAAACTCAAATGTAAAGAAAATTTCATGAATAGAGTAAATTTAAATTCTAAACTGAACCTCCAAAACCAAATGATTTTGGATAACTAAAATCCACTCTGACATTGTATTGAACTCCTGCTACTGTGAAAGAAGTTCATGATGTACAAATAACAGCAAAATGTCTGAATTTCAATTGCAAAGAACTTAACTACCTCTTGAACCAAAATGGCATTATAATCATTTGTTATCAATTCAAAATAAGCATAGCATTTTTATTTTATCTATGAATAAGCATTATATATTATGCCGCATAGAGATCACTGATGAAGCTGACATCATTACTGATGTCAAAATTAAAATCAAGTTTTCTTGAAGCATATTCTTTGTCCTTATCCTCATAAGATAACAGAGAAAGACAAATTACATTTAAAAATTCTCAGATATCATTTTATTTCCACTGAAATTCACAAAAATGCAAAGTTCTAAAGTAATATCACTTCAACAGAATTCATATTTCTTAAATTATTGCATATTATGTTATATGATATTTTGAGAAACTATGTAATATCTATTTTATCTCAAAATTAAAATATAATAAATGATTGAAATATCACTACAATTTTTAATTGGCATTACTTTACTTTTCTCAGTCATCAGATAACATTGTCCCAATTATTATTGTTGCAATTAATCTTCATTATCTTGTTAGCTACCAGGCCACACCTTCAGTTTGTTTTCTGTTTCCACTTTAATTATTCTATCAACCATTCACTCGATTAGTCAAATATTTCCTCAACCTGTAGTGAACCCTGAAGAATTAGGATTCCATAAAGTATTAAACATTAATTTATAACTTTCATCTATAGATTAATTTATATTGAGTTTGAATGAAAGTGATGCAAATATTTTATAGTTATCCAACATTTTTAATGATTACATATATTTTATATATATTTATCTAAATATGACTTGTTAATGTATGTTTCACTAAAAATATACAACTATAAAGGAAATAAGGCATTAAGCAGATTGTTATTTATCATTAGAATACTATATTTGAGTCATTGAGTATCTGTTGTATCACAGTATTAACATTAAATTTGTGATAAACTGATAAATGATAATAATTCCTAGATTTTTATATTTTTAAAATTAAATTTAAAGGTAAATTATGATACCATTTTAGTATTTCCCTTCACTTTTATATGAGAAAAATTCTAAGAAATACTTGAAAATTCTCTAAATTTACTTTAGTGAGTATTAAGAACAAGATATATGATCTTATTTGTTTGTCCTGGAATGGCTTTATAGTCCATGATCTCTCGAAAACAGTTGCATTGTTGTTTATAGCATAATGATATAATCAGCATGCTTATCTTAATTAACTGAGAACTCTTATTTAAGAGTAAAAATGAACCTGAGCTACTGCATTCTAGGCATACAATGGCCTTACCCTAGGTATTCTAACAATAGCTCTTGGCTGACAGAGGATTAGGAAGAAATCTTGTCCATGATGGGCTTGTACTTAATCATATGTGCCCCTAAATCTTTTTCTCTTTCTTTCCATTCTTTTGTTTCCTTTAATCTAGGTATATTAGCATAGGGATGGCAATTAGTCATATAATAAGCCTATTTAGGGAACCCACCCTTTGCACTGATGAGAGATTATTTTTCACCTTGCTTCAAATATTTCCTTTTTTTAAAATATAGATAATATTGATATGATAGCTCCTATTCATAAAATGAGTCAATTTAAATCCCTATAATATTAGAGAGTTTGAAATTTTCTTTTAGATATAGTTGTTTCCAAGAAAACTAGAGCTGTTTGGAAATTTAGCATGTAAATCTTGGTCTGAGGTCCAAGGTAGTTTGGTATATAGAAATTAAGAACTAAAAGTTGAACGTAAAAGAAAGTAATAATTTCCCTCCAACAGGATTGATGTAAATTTAATAATATTCACTAAGCATATAAGAACATTGCATATTTTATTCTGAAATTGGCATTTTAAATTAGATACAAATAAACTCTGAAGAAGAAAAATAATACTATACCAATTTTGGTAGTAAGTATATTGTTACACAGAAAAATCTCTTAGGTTACTTAAATGGGCAAATGAATAGGACAAATATAGGCGAAAGAGTAAAAGAAACCAAGTAATATTGACTAATCTGGCCTTCTTATCAAGAATAGCAAATCAGGAATACTCAAACTGTTAAATACGTAAGATTAGATTTTCTTAGTTAAAAAGAATATAGAAATTTCTTATATAATTTTGTGTTGAATTATTTTGCATGGTTTTATGATATTAGAGTATTAACTATTGTGTTATTGGGTTAGGTTGTAGGGGAGCAAGGGTTAGTCTGCTTAGAACCTGCTCAAGGGTTTGCTGTTATTATTACAGTGACTGCTGGGACCGTCTTGATACATGTGTTGGCTCTAACATGGTCTGCAGTCACAAGATGACAAGGCTAAGCCTTACTGAGAGTCCTCATACTTGCACAAATATTCTGTATTTCTCTTGGA